TCTTATGCTGAGGGCTCCAGAGCTGGACGCAGTGCTCCAGGTGGGGTCTCACCAGAGCAGAGTAGAGGGGCAGAATCACCTCCCTCGACCTGCTGGCCACGCTGCTTGTGATGCAGCCCAGGATACGATTGGCCTTCTGGGCTGCGAGCGCATAATTGCTGGATTATGTCCAATTATTCATCCGCCAGTACCCCCAAGTCCTTCTCCGTGGGGCTGGAGATTGCCCCGACCCAGATACAGGACCTTGCACATGGCCTTGTTGAACTTCATGAGGCTCACATGGACCCACTCCTCCAGCCTGTCAAAGCTCTTCCTGAAGTGGCTTTGGTATTCAGCTGTGCTTGTTGAGCACGAAGCTGATACTTGAGTACTAACAAGTTTTCCTCTGCTGCCGTTATGCTGGATGTATCTCTTTCAGTCAAAAAAACTGCCAAAAGAATTTAATGTGTTGGTATTTTCTCTTATTTCATAAATCTGTAACTGAAATGTCTTGTCTGTCACCTCAGTTTTAAGCATGTTGAGAACTGTTAGCTTACTTGTGTCTTAATTTAAGGTCGCTAAGTTGTGAAAAAGTATCGGAAGTAAGCAATCTGGAGAAGCTGTGCTTCATTTTAAGGGTGACACAACAAGTTCATATCAAGATAAATAAGTTCTTTCTGAACACCATTACAAAAACTTTTTACTGGACTTTAGTAACTTCAAAGAGTTAGAGATAAAATCCCATCTCTCCATTTTATTGCTTAGAGATGAAAATATGTGCTATTTTGCAGATTTGAGTCTTAATAAAAAGTAATTCTGTGAAAATACTTTCCAAGGTACTTTTCTTATCTGTTGGTGTTCCTCTTATCAGGGAATACTGTCACACTTTCAATGACCGTTTGCAGGAGCTCAACAAATGGATGATGGCCGGGCTCCCTGTTAGCAAGTGCTTACCAGCTGCCCAAGTCTCATGTACTTGGTCTAATTCTAATTCACTTCATGGCTTTGTACAAGACAAGAATAAATGCTTTCTGTGCCTGTTGAAGCTCACAAAAGGAGGTAAAACAAACTTTTCTGAGTCCTACTTTTCAGGCTTTGTGTTTGACAGCTACAAGAGAAATGGCAAGGGTGCAACCTCTCTGAATTCATCCGGTCACACTGGGGAAATAAAGGCTGCATTTGTGTGTTCTAGGCTGGTTTCCTATGTTTTCAGCCTTTACTTGCATTGATTATTGAACAGTATTGTCCGAAAGTGATACTGTGGTTATTTGATTGCTTTACAGTCACAGCAGCTCAAAGCGCGGCACAAAAAAAAATGGTATAAGCATTTTAATTTTCACTTTGGTACCCGAGTGGACAGTTGTCTTTCCAGCTCCGAAGACACTTGAACCTCACAACCTTTTGGTTTTCAAACATGGTTCCCTTGTTTCAAGGTGTTGAAAATGATTGACTGGCTGTTAGGACCCAGACTGGGTGACTCGGGGTTGTAGCAGTTTTGTGATTCCCTTGGGCTAAATTAAGATGAAATGACACCAGGTGATCAATTAAACGCTTTATTTATGGAACATGCAACTTAAACTTGGAAAGCATAATAATAGGCGGTGTGAATTCTATTGAGGCATTTATAAGAAGAGAAGGAAAGAGAGGAAAAGGGAAGGGTGGGGGAGAGAGAGAGAGAGATCACCCCCCTTGGATCCCGCGATGATGATGAGGGACGTGGCAATCCTCCGGTGATGGGCGCACACACGGCTCCTTGGAGTTGTGCCTCTTACAGTCTAGTTCCCGCCTCTCGGGGAGTTATGTAGGGGCCATACATTGGGCCATACATGCTGCGGCCTCCTGCCGGGCCTATCAGA